TCGATAGAATACCTTATTCCGCGCCTTTCTTCTCTTATCCTTAGCTCTTTTATCCTTATCTATCTTCTCCTTTCTCTCGCGGTCTCGTACGGAATTCTTCTTTATAGAGTACTCCTCTTTAGTCTTACGCTTTTTAGTTAGACGCTTAGGTAAAACAAACTCGCGGTCTTTAGTTCTATCTTCTATTTAGCGCGCGGCGCGCTTCTTTCTTACTATTATAAGGGAAAGGGGCGGGGGCGTAGCGTATAGTAGTTATTATCGGTATAGGTATAGAGGAAGAAGTTGAAAGTATAAGAATATCGCGAAGCCCTAATTGTTGCCGCCTACGTAACGTTATATAGGTAAGCTTTCGCAACTATAGCAACTACGCCCTAGTAATAGCAACTACGCCCTAGCAACGGCAACTACGCCCTAGCAACGGTAACTACGCCCTAGTAACGGTAATAAAGCGTAGTAAATACAATCTAGTAACTATTATAGCTAGTAATTGTAGCCGGCAGTCGAATAAGAGTATCCTTATAGCAAAACTACGCCCTAGTAACGGCAACTACGCCCTAGTAACGGCAACTACGCCCTAGTAACGGCAAAAGAGCGTAGTAAATGTAATAGAGTTACTATTATAGCCGGCAATCGTAGCCGGCAGTCGAATAAGAGTGTCCTTATAGTAAAACTAATATAGTCTCTAGTTTAAACTAGGAATCTATATAGTTCGAAAAAGCTAAACCGGAACTAGGGAGCTAGTTCGCCGCTAAGAAACTAAACTATATACGTTTAGTAGTTCGGAAACCGAACTACTGCGGGGTCTAATAAAGAGCGGGCAGCTTAATAGGTTACCCTAGCGTATACTATAGTAAACCTCTACTAGCTCTCCTAAGTAACCGTTTAAATAAACCCTAGTACAAGTGTCTAAGTAAAGCAATTTTAACTAGCTAATAAACCGGTTAGGGAAGCCTAGTTTGCGTAATACCGCCTAAAGGTAGGTATAGCTAACTCTATTATAGGCTTTCTTCTAGTCTAGGAAGAGGATAGCGATAGGCTCTTCGTTAATTCGCGGTTTGTTACCTCTTAGGCGATGCCGGTCGATAAGGAACTATACCGTTCTTACGTTATCGTCTATTAGGCGCCCTAGTAAGAAGGCACTCTAATATAGACTAATAACGCTCTTTAGCGCTCGTATAACTCTTTATATAAGTATCTCCGTAAAGATCTTATAATTAACATTTATTAAGAATAGTAGACGGTAGTTCTTAAGCTCCTCCGGGGAGCCCTTTTCTTTAAAAAGGACCGTAAGAACTCTATCTGTCTATCCCTCTAGGAGTTCGCTCCGAGTTATAATCTCCTTGTGTACCTCGGCGATACGGTAGGTAACTAGTAGCGGATCTTCCTCTAGCTCTCTATTAATTATTATAGGAGGCCTCTTCGGTTCTACGCGTATAAGAGCTTTATAAAACTTAGAAGGCAGGCTATTAAACCCCGGCGACCTTCCTACGGCCGCTCTTTTAAGCGCTCGCTATACCTCTTATATATAGTCGAGGTCTAAGTAGGCCTCTACTAATTTAGTACTTATCCCTCTATCTAAATAGTTAAGAACCCTCTCTCTTACCTAGTCGGCGGATAGCTTCTCGGTATAAAGCTTAGAGTAGTACTTACTAGCAATAGCTAAGATTTTATTAGGTTTAGTCCTAACTACTCCTTACGTATCCTTTATACCCGAGATATAGATATAAGTTATTGCTTTATAAAAGGCGAAGAACTACTTAGTAGGCCGTTCGCCTAAGAGCAAATGTTTAGCTAGGGCGTAGTAAGAGTAACTCTTAAACTGCTACTCTGCTAGGTAACTCTCCCGTAGCTTAAGGGCTTCAATTTAGAGCTCTAAGTTACGATCTACTATATCGGACTTCCTCCGACTAATTAAAGCAGACCTCCGCTTTATTAGATTTCGAGTATATATTCGGGATCTCTCCCTCTATTCCTTAGCTATCTAATTCAAGCTCTTTTAGATGCCTGCTTTAAACTTTAGCTATTTACTAATAGGATTATCCTAAGGAAGTAAGGTAAGAGCCTAGTAGTAGCTAGCTACTACCTATTTCTTCTCGAGCATTAGTAGGCGTAAGCGCTACTAGCCTAGGCCTCTCGCGTTAGTATCGAGCCCTCCTAGCTTAGTAGAGACTACCTTATAGTCGGACAAGCCGCTATTTAATACAATTCGCTACTAAGAAGTCCTACTATTCTAATTAGACCGGATATAAATTCGATTAATCCTAGAGATCCCTATAGTTAAAACAAAGTATATAAACTCAATTCGATTAGGGTAGCGATCCCTCTAGCTATTAATAAGTGTAATACTATCTAAACGAAGGGCTGCAATAAATCGACGTATAGCGGCAATAGTAGAGGTTCGACTTAGGACATTAGTTCTTTTATTAATCCCCTAGGAGACTTAGTTCTAGTCGCTACCTACTACGTTAATATTTAGCGGTTCTTTAAGCTTAGTTAACCTACCCGTAGCTTTATTAAAGAAGGTAATTCGGGGACTAATATTCGCTAGGGCGTATACCGACGCAACAGTTAGTATAATGCCCTTACAAATTAGCTTACAAACTAATAGCCGTCCTATATCGTCTATATAAAAGGGTAAACCCTTAGCGAAGGTCGTAGTTAAGCTATTAACTAAGATGCTAACACTACCTAATTTACTCCCTAAAGGGTTGTTAATTAAGAAGATGCCTAGAAGCACCGACTCGTAATACAAAGACATCTTATTAGTTAGGCGCGTGTTCTATAGTAATAAGATATCGACCTAGCGGCTCTTTATAAACTTATAAGCGGCACGGAACCTAGCGGGATTGCGTACCGAGTTAACATTTAGAGAACAAATACGTATATTAAATCCCTTTATAGCTTAGGCTTATATAGCAGTATAGACTCTACGCCTTGCTTATTTATTAGGATAACCGTTTATACCTCTAGGTAGGCTAGGGTATTATAGGCTTTATTACAAATATTA